CTTTAGAATCTTAATATCAGAATCGAAAGAAAATGGAGAATATATAATATTTCTATATACCTGTACAGAAGCAGCCAGCCTTAATCAAATTGAAATCCACATCGTCATTCTCCATTGTTATCAGACCGTCAACCCTTCTGGCACAAAAATCCACTGGGGGAATCAACCCAAGATTCTTTCAAAGCAATTTTAAAGGCATTTTACCTTTTCCATTAGTCCATAGGAAACCTTGTATGGTTCAACAACTTCATAACTTTGGTCAATATTTTATGTAGCTGCTTTGTATGCCTACATCGCAGCTTTTTTACCATCAACATCTTTTCTCGATCATTGCGTTAACATCTTCTTCGATCATTGCATTATAAAATTTCATCTAAAGAAACATAAGAACAATGACTTTCATTCTAAGACACATAATACTAATTAAGCGTACCTCTCTCTCTCATGAATGTTGACTTGATGCTGGATTTGATATGTCTATAACCCCATATTACCAATAAAATATCATCACTCGTCGATCCAAATATATTATTTTCCTTCTGCCCTCCGATATCTTCCATGATACTTTCTTCTCCCTCTACACATTTCTCACAGAAATAATAATCAGGTGAAATTAAATCCCAAATCTTGTGAGACTTGTGAGCAGGAAAGAAAACAAAGTCAATCTTACTTTACCCGCGAAAAATGCATTAGCTGAAATTTAACATCTGCAGTAGCTGAAACATTTCCCGAGGGAATTTTTTTTGATATTGAGAGCCAATCCATAGGAAAACTAATGTAGAAACATATTTTCAGAGAGGAAAATAAGCAGTATGATTGACACAATGTACGTCCAAGCATAGAAAGCCATGAAACATTACACAAGATATACAAAGCATATCAAAGCTAGATTTGTTCAATTTTGCAGTAAAATAATTAGATCATCAAAGTGTGATCGTGTAGATTCAGGGACCTAGAAAATAAAGTGGAAAAGTGCCATTCAATCTTTCCTATCATAGGGACAAAGTGACACCAAATAGTTTCACAGGAATACACATCACTATATATATTAGACATATATTCACAATCACTTAAACTTTGTAATTCTATCGTTTCGCTTGTAGTTAAACTAATAAGATATTTATTTATAAAAAGAATGCTTACTCAGAAATGTACGCGGTAAAGCGGAATTCCATACCGGAGATTGAAAGAACAGCATCAAATTAGAGGTGCATCTTTCGGTGTTGAGCATATCTGATTAGCTGCCCGAGAATTTGTAAATCATCCATAACTGGATAAAGAAACCAAGAGCATGAGACAAACTAAAACTAAAATTCAAGAGAGGGAGAGATAAAGCTTACTTTCCAAGTACATAACCTGAGTCCAGTGGGCCATCTATTAGCCGAGTGGCGGCACCTTGATACCTTAAGCTTCATCCAAAAAAAATTTCTTCCAATTGCACGCAATAGATTGTAGTTATCTTCATCTCTTAAAATACTTATTGTTCAGAGGCTAGAAACACATTAACAACACACCACATCATCAATTAATCAGAGAGACTGAATTGTTACGAAAGTGGAATTGAATCTTAAAGAACAGAAATCAGCACATAAGAAAGTTGATTTCATATCGTTTGGGTAAGTGGAAAGTCGTAAAGAAGTAAATATGATAAATTTGTTGTCATACCTGCTCATCAATCAGAAGCAGCTCTACGGCGATAAGTAGTTTCAGTTGCTCTAACTGATAGTTGCGATTTTGATAGGATTTAGGTTTAGGCTAAGCTTTATAAGAGGAGGATGAACGGAAGGTGAAACGAAACCAGAAGGGGATTACAGATTATCAGAAGGGGGTTACAGAGATGGAAGACATAGCTGAAGAGTCGATTACAGAGAATTGAAGTTGAAGACGAATTAGAATTTTCGGGGCCCGACATGCCAGTGATATTTTTTCTTGAAACCACACCGAGGCCCAGTTAACAAAGATGTTCTGATGTGGCAAAAGAACTGTTTCTGATTGGATGATTATTTTTAATGATGTGGACATGCTCTCCTTTGAGTATATCCACCTTTTAGTATAGTATAGATAATAAGCATTCACTATGTGAAAGACTTCTATTTAAACAGATCTTGAAACGTGTATTAGTCATATACACTCGACACACAATTATAAATGCATGCATGTTACGAATATTGTGTTTCAGTTTCTGTTTGTTTATATATTTATGATCGCTATAATAAATATCTATATATATATATTACATATGTAGGTTGCTTGAACCATATTACTACCATTGATGGGCTCAAACAAATTATTTGATTTAGAAATTCCAGAAATATAAGCCTTCAGATCCAAGTATTAACATTCAAAATTTTAAATATATACTAATTACAGATTTTTCTTACTATGTACTCTTATATTTGATGACCTTATAAATCAAAATCTATATTTTCAGAATTCAATAACCACATATTGAACACGGTTTGAAGTATCCATGAATATGTTATATACATCTATTCACAAATCAAATAGTACTGAATGTAATATATAAAACATAAAAATATGTATAATTGAAATAATTAACAAATAATTTTTTTTTTTAATAATCTCACCCTGCGCAAGGCGCAGGTCACTACCTAGTGTTTATTAAAAGTAAAATACTGAAACTGAAATTTAATTCTAGAAACTAATTAACATACTTTTTTTTAATCCAAATAATATCATCTACGTATGGATATAATCCAAATCAACCCTAATTTGCCAATTTTGCACACTCTAGTCTCGGTTGGTGACAATCAGAATTTTAGAATTTCATGAGATTAATTTTTGTGAACTGTGATGAAAAAATGATCATTTGTACTACAGGTTCCGTGCTGTAGAACTACATATAACACATGCATATGATGAGGTAAATAACAAAAAAAAAAAAAAAAATCAACGAGGGTGTTAAGCTCATATATGATCTTCATCAATTTAACTTGGTACACGAATTAAACACGACTCGGTTTAATACATTAAATATGGAATTTTCCGGGTTTACTGCATAGTTCCAACTAGTAAATACTTCACAAAAATCATATTTTCAGCTAGTGGTAACGCACATGGCACACCTGCTCTAGCAAGTTGTAGTCACATACAACAACTTAAACTCATCCGTCGACTGGTTATCGGGCCTGCTTGGGCTAGACAAACAGAAGACTGATCAACATGTGATTAACAAATCTCTTACTTAGGCATTTTGCTTAAACAACTATCATTTATCCATGACAGTTTACAAGCAAAACTAAACAATTTGCTTTAGTTGCTATCAACTCCAACAACTATTATGCGTTAATTTGCTTTTAACTAAAATTAACTAGTTACTCTTTTTTATGATGTGACACAGTCTTTGACTTCTTCTTTCTTTCACTTACCCATTCTCCTTCAGTCAAAAGATACAATCCTAAAATTCTCAGAAACTCAAGTGGTTAAGATCGTTTGATCTGTGTGCATCAGCATAAATCCTTGTTGCAAAATAACAAACAGAATAAATAACTAAATTATATCGGACATTCAAAAAGAAAAATCAACAAGAACTTGTTTATTACAAGAAAACAAAAAATGCAACCATTTGTTTAGCAAATAAGAAACCTAAGATCTTCTTGTACAAGTCATTTGAACAAAGAACTTAATATCTTTTGTGCAGTGACTCTGACCAAACATCTCGTCCGTAACCATAAACGCACACTTGTGTTTTCCAAGACAATTCTGCACAAATTATACTTCACAATAAGATTCATTGAGATATTTATTAATTGTAATCCACAAATTAAACATATCGTTAATTTTACTAACCTTTTTGACGACCTTCATGGTATATGGTGAGCCGCACTTTCCGTGTCTATAGTGTTCACACTTACCGGAAGGATTGCCATAATCAGCAAAATTGATTTTTGTAATAACATCTTTAGATGTTTTAACATCTTTATCTTTAGATGTTTTCACATCATTATCTTTAGATTTGTCGCAAGCAACACGCCACGGAAATGTCAAATTAGATTCTGAACACACAAAATATTCCTTGCCCGTGTCCGTGCCATAATCAGTGGAACCAGCTTCAGGTATGAACGGGATATCGTCGTCGTCGCCTTTGCTGCCTCTTGCATCATCAGAAATATTCAGACTGGAAACTAAACCAAACACAGAGAAATAAGATAGAACTAGAAGCAAGATGTAGCCTCGACGACGGCTATGTAAAATATCCATTTTGTTGTCTTCGTAATTAAAAGTTAACTAACGAAATTGTATTAAGCACTAGTTACGAGTGTAGTTATATATAGTTTAACTTGGATTAATTTGCAGCGGTAGATTCGTCTGTTGGTGTGACCACGCAAATTTCTCTTGAATTTTCTTTCTTTTCGGAGGTGGGGAATAACATTGCTTTGACTTTTCCACGATGACTTAGTAATAGATTTTATTTTGGGTGAAAAAAAATATATTAGGTCCCTTTTAAATTTATAAAATCACATTTAAAAAGCATATATGTTTATTAAAAGTAAAATATTGAAATTGAAATTTAATTCTAGAAACTAATTAACATAATATTTTAACATAATATCTCTTCTTAACTCCTCTTCATATCATATTTACATGGTGTTTAAGATCGGAGTCTGTGATTTAACAATTAGATTTAGTATTATTGTTACTATTTTATTAACCGACCACAACTACTTGCTTATACGTTAAGTCAAAAGGTGCCGTTGCATGAAAAAGTTCACGTGGCATGGTTCCTGACTTCAACAATCTCCTCAGATACGTGTCGTGCAAAAGGCTACTCGTAAGATAAAAATGGCAAAAAATGAAATCATTAAACCACACGTGGCAGTTATAAATCTACCGATTTCATTACATGGCATCTCATTAGAACCAAACCGCTTGCTATAAAACCAACGAAGCAGCTCTAACTAAATAAATAAGACGAAATATATTCAAAAAGGATTTATCATAACCCTACTTTCTTGTGTTTCAAGCAGAACAAACAAATCATGGCGTCAGGACAACGTGAGGCGGAGAAAGCAGCGAAGGCCGAGAGAGCCGAGGCCGCGGCGAGGCTCGCGGCTGATGACTTGAGAGACGTCAACGAAGGAGGTGTAACGTATAAGGTGACTGAGAAGACAACAACGACAGAACATCCTTCAACCGTGGAGGAAACCGAAAGACCCGGGATTATAGGGTCGGTGATGAAGGCCGTGCAAGGAACTAAAGATGCTGTGATTGGTAAAAGCCACGATGCGGCAGAGTCAACGAGAAGTGGAGCAGAGGTTGCATCAGGAAAGGCCGGAGAGGTTAAAGACAGGACTGCGGATAAGACAAAGGAGACAGCAGATTACACTGCTGAGAAGGCCAAAGAGGCTAAAGACAAGACAGCGGAGAAGGCCACCGAGGCCAAAGATAAAACAGCTCAGAAGACGAAGGAAACCGCTGATTACACGGCGGAGAAGGCTAAGGAAGCGAAAGATAAGACGGCTGAGAAGATGGGTGAGTACAAAGACTACACGGCAGATAAGGCTAGAGAGGCGGGTGAGAAGGTGGGTGAGTATAAGGACTACACGGCGGAGAAGGCTAAAGAAGCAAAGGATAAAACAGCTGAGAAGACTAAGGAGACGGCTGATTACACGGCGGATAAGGCGAGAGAGGCTAAAGATAAGACGGCTGAGAAGTTGGGTGAGTATAAAGACTATACGGCGGAGAAGGCAACAGAAGGTAAAGATGCTGGAGTGAGTAAGATTGGTGAGCTTAAGGATAGTGCTGTGGATACGGCCAAGAGAGCTATGGGTTTCTTGTCGGGGAAGACAGAAGAAACTAAACAAAAAGCCGTTGAGACCAAAGAAACTGCCAAGGTAATTAGCAAATCTACGTCTCTGGAGGAGTGTTGTCTTGCATTTATTGAAGTATACCACTTAATGTGTTATAAAATGGTGTTTTGTTGATTAATAGGAGAAAATGAACGAGACAGGAGAAGAAGCGAGGAGGAAAATGGAAGAGATGAGACTTGAGGGTAAAGAACTTAAAGACGATGCTGCTCAGAAGACCCAAGAGAGAACTGAAACAGCAGCTGATAAAGCTCGCGACACTAAAGACTCCGTAGCTCAAAGGTATGGAGATTACAAGTATGTGATTTTTTTATACTTGTGGATGTATTTATTTCATCTGGTGATTGTTTTGTAGGGGGGAAGAAGGGAGAGGTTTAATGGGTACGTTAGGGAACATGACAGGAGCGATAAAGAGCAAGCTGACAGGTACAACACCCTCTGATGATGAGACTCGCATGGCCAGTACTGGAGGTGATGGCTCGGGGAGGACGACTGTGACGATCGATGTAGAAGATACGAGGCCTGGACAAGTGGCGACGAAGCTGAAAGAGTCGGATCAGATGACTGGTCAAACATTTAACGACGTTGGAGAGATGGATGAAGATGAAAGGAAGGTGAATGTCAGAGTGTGAGATAAAGGGAACATGTAATAAAAAACTAAAACAACAACAAGGGAAGCTATGCGGCGGTTTATAACTTTATGCTTTGTAACTTTGTTTTCTTTCTCTTTTGTGTTCTTTCAATGTCTTTTTTCAGTCTTGGTTATGTAATAATAAATAGCTTCTGTTTCTTTTATACAAGTACACAAAGTAGGCATCACTCTGCACATGAGAGAGAGAGAGAGAGCTATAAAACAGCTCGAGGTGGCTCTACTCACTAGCACAAGGCGATTCTCAAATATCAAACTTTGCATCGCTCAGTCACAGAACAGAGGTCAGATATCAAACCGGAGAGGAGCTGGAAGATCATTTGAACAGATCTCTGGAGTAGCGGCCTCCTAGAGCTATTTGTAAGACATACAACGGAGAAAGAATTGTTATTTAAAAGCAGTTTACAAAAAAAAAAAAAAAATTGTTATTTAGATAGGCCTTGAATAGTTTGAAGTAGTTCAACAGTAGCCGCACTACAAGAAATTATTTAATTTTTGACCACTAAATTAGAAAGAAATTGGTCAGAAACAAGCATTTTTGTCCAATTTCTCACCACTTATAGTGGTCAAAAATTCTCCGTCAGAAATCACATTCGGTTAGAATGTGGTCAATAATTAATGACCAGATAAGTGGTCAGTAATTTCGTCATAATTATTGGTCATAAACTGGTCACAAAATATTGACCATTTCCTGACGTATTACTAACCTATTTAAGTGATGAATTGCTGACCACTTAGTGACTATTTCCTTTGATTACATTCTGACCAGTTTGTGACAATGTATTAGTGACAAACTTTTGACCACTTTTTTTTTCTAACCATCTATTTTTATTTTTATTTATTAATGAATAAAACTGTATTTAATATAAATGAATGACAAAAACAAATATATTTTATAAAACCTAAATAATAAACCTTCAAATAGTTCTAACATAATACTTAAATAAAGATTGAACAAAGTTGTTTCTTGTCTTTAACATAGAAGTTACAAATTGGTCATTAGTAATGTTTTAACCACAAAACAGACACATAATAACTAATACATAACTACTCTTGAGTAGCATCTTCATCTTCATCTAGTAATTCTGGAAATTTGCTAACCACTTTATGAGTCAAATTCTGCAAATACTTTATAACTTTACCTTGGTCATCTTTGTCATTTTCCAAAGTCACAATCTTCTCATTTGCCACAGTGATCTTCTCGTTTGCAATCCTTAATTGTTCTTCTTGATCTAAATTAGACATGAATCTAGCTGAGGAAGATTGTTGTCCTGGGTCTGGTAGTGTTCCAAACCCAAAACGGTGACCTTTAATTACAGGAATTTCCTATAAAAAGAAACACAATATAAGGAAAGAATAGAAAAAAATGATAACTAAAGAAACAATAGTTGACTTACCTTTAAAACGAGAGTGTTGATCTCTGCTTGGGTAAGATGGTTTGTCTCAGATTTGAAGCATATCCATCTGGAAATTTAACACTAGACAAAATCCACTTAAAAAACTCTTCCTTTGCAGATGCATTCAATCTGAACCTAGGAGTAGGACCCTTTCCATTGGCCATGATATGTAGCTCATCTCGTGCACATATACTAGGCAAGTCTAATCTCGACTTTAAGTTGTCTTTTGTTTTGCCTTGGACA